AATTCTAAGTCATTCTAGATAATTTTTAAAAATAATTTCTTGAAGATAAATGAAATCTTAATTTAGTGATTGTGTAAAATTTGTATTAACATTTGTATTAATGAGATAAATTTATTAATATCAACATTAGTATTAGTATTGTTATATATAGTTCGATTTTTTGTCTATAGTAATCTCCAAGCTTGGTAAAGTAAAATGCGAGTAAAGGAAAAGGTAACAAGTAGACGAGCAGGCGGTGAGATAAGAAAACACTAGTTTAAAAAGTAATGTCGAATCATCTTCACAGCTGAACAATTCAAAAGAAAAAACTCAACAAAAAGCAGTGAAATAGCCATAGGTCAGAGGCTTTCAAGTCGATGAATGTTCCAATTTAGTTCAAAATACAAGAAAAACTTTAAAAAAACAATAGAAATCTTATGGAGGTATAAATCTACTTGAAACATAAAATTAAAATGAACAACATTGTTGAAACACAAATAACTACTTTCCACAATGTATTGGCAAACTTCTTCGAAACTCTGAGCTCCTTCTCCATATCTTCGAGCTTTCTCATCGCGACCTCCAAGCGTACTGCTCCTTCCCTTTCTCTAATGTTGAATTGCTCAATTTCACGTCGGTACTTATACATTTTATCCAACAAACTCGGTATAATTGATTTTGCTCTTTCACACATTTCTGGATCAAACCACATAAAAAAACCACAATAGCCAGAACTCTGTACATTTTTTTTAGAGGTATTAGACGCTATCCAAGTAAATCTGTAAACCAAGAATGAAAGAACAAAAATACAAGTTTGCATCAATAGAAAATTACCCCATATTTAGGGCATGCCCAATATCTCCTTCCCGGATTTCTTCCGGTCCAAGAAGCTGTCAAATACACTTTGCTACCACAATTACAAGTGACATCCATCTCATGCACAACTTTATCCTCATAAGCCGAACTCCCATGCGAATAACTCATTGCTCCACAAAATAGCAACAACTTAAAGAGATGGACTAACAACCCAAAACAATATATTCATGAAGTGTGGAGAAGGATACATTCATGAGATGAATGAACAACAATTATAGCACCTAGTACACAGTATTACAACATCGAAACACGTTTTACACTATACACAAGAATACATGTTTCATAGTTGTTGGACCACTGAACACAAACCACAGAACTTGGTAAAATTGAACATGGACAGAGCATCAACCTACAAATCAGATATTCACCCTCTCATCACACACCCATTGTTTTATAGTTGTTAATATCCAGGGAAACACAATAGGTGACGAATAACTGTGATACTGGTAATACAAATGTCAAACCAAATGAGATGAACAGAAGACTAAACCCGCAAAAAACAGTCAACATTATAACATCGGATAGATATGAAGTCTGAAAAATCTTGGGTTTGGGTTTTCATAGTCGACACATTCAACCAGAAGAAAAAAATTATAGAATTTTCATAGTCATTATGAGTATCTGTACCAACAAAAGAAGAAAAAGTTTAGAGAAATTTTTACAATGATAATTCCCCAGCCTCAGCCGTCAAGTGGCGTCGTTCAAGACTAGGTTCGAGTCCCTTTCATCAGAATCGGACACAGCCTGCAAAAAAAAAAAAAA